GAAGAAATTGGACAACCATTTGTCTGATATGGTATAGAGTCTCCTGCTTGGCCAGAGTTGGACTAGAAGATCTCCAAGGCCCCTTCCTGTTCTGTTTTGAATGGCTTTCCTCCAGTAGTTGTGGCTACTCCATCAGTGGAGGTTCTTAAGAAGAGACTGCACAGCCAGTTGTCCAGAATGGCTTAGGGTCTCCTGCTTGAGCAGGGGTTGGACTGGGAGACCTCCACGCTCCCTCCCAGCTCTGTTATTCTGATGCTTATCTCCTTCCATGCTGAATAGAATAGAATAGAATAGAATAGAACAGAACAGAACAGAATAGAATATAGAATAGAAATAAGGAAATAGAATAGAATAGAATAGAATAGAATAGAATAGAATAGAATAGAATAGAATAGAATAGAACAGAACAGAACAGAACAGAACAGAATAGAATAGAATAGAATAGATATTGGAATATAGAATAGAAATAAGGAAATAGAATAGAATAGAATAGAATAGAATAGAATAGAGTAGAGTAGAGTAGAGTAGAGTAGAGTAGAGTAGAATAGAATAGAATAGAATATAGAATAGAAATAAGGAAATAGAATAGAATAGAACAGAACAGAACAGAATAGAATAGAATAGAATAATATAGAATAGAATAGATATTGGAATATAGAATAGAAATAAGGAAATAGAATAGAATAGAATAGAATAGAATAGAATAGAATAGAATAGAATAGAATGGAATGGAATGGAATGGGATGGGATGGGATGGGATGGGATGGGATGGGATGGGATGGGATGGGATAGGATAGGACAGGATTATGGGATAGAATAGAATAGAATTATAGAACAGAACAGAACAGAACAGAATAGAATAGAATTAAGAATAGAACGGAACGGAACAGAACAGAACAGAATAGAATATGGGATGGGATGGGATGGGATCAGATTGGATGGGATGGGATAGGACAGGATTATGGGATAGAATAGAATTATAGAATAGAACAGAACAGAACGGAACAGAATAGAATAGAATTAAGAATAGAACGGAACAGAACAGAACGGAACAGAATGGAACAGAACAGAATAGAGCTGGAAGGGACCTTGGAGGTCTTCTAGTCCAGCCCCTTGCTCCAGCAGGAGGACCTACACCATCTCAGACTTGATGGCAGAAGGGGGCAGGGGGCCCCTGGATGAAACCCAGAGCTGCACCCTAAGGGTCCCAGGAAGTCAGGGAAACATCCCTGGTGATTCCTGGTCCACCATTAAACCAGGTTTCTCCAACCCCGACCCGTCTCTCCGGCAGACAGGCTGCCTGGAAATTCCGGGCGTAGCGACTGAGTTGCAACTCCTGCCGGCAAGGAGAGGCTGAACGGAGGTCACGGGAAACAGAGGAGGCAAAATGAAGGATGATCAACTGGGGACATCCTGTAACAGAAGCTCTTAGGATCTCCTGTGTGGAACCACGGAGTTGGACCGAGATCAGATTCAGCGCTGCCAAGACAAACAACTGGCCAGATTATCCAATTACAGCCTCCGGCTCATTCAATTATCCAATTATTATAATGATCAATTATTACGTTGACGGAACGATCCCGCCTCAAGAATGCGCACGAAGGGCTCCACTTCGGCTGGAGGGGAAGTATCCAGTGGACAGGAGTATTTATTTCCACATTTTTGTCCTTTTGGGGGGCGGGGGGGGGCATGGGGGGAGTTCAGCAGACCCATAGTAAGTTTGCAGATGACACGGAACTGGGGCGTGGGGGGGGGACCTACCTTTAGAAAGAAAGGAGAAATTCAAACAAACCAAGAAGGGCTGAAATAGAATCACACACAGCAGAATTACATAGAATCGCAGGGTCGGGGGGGGGGACCCTGGAGGTCTTCTAGTCCAACCCCTTAACCGAGGCGGGAGACCTCTGGAGAAACAGTTATCCGATCCTTCCTGGAAAACCTCCAACGACAGAGCACCCACAAACAAAATAAACAAATGCAGGTAAACCCTGAATTTACGTCGACGAGAGAGCCCAACATTTGCCAAGCGAGTTTTGCCCAATTTTAGGGGCTGCCCCGAAGAAGAGGCAGTCAAGCTCTTCTCCAAAGCGCCTGAAGAAGGCAGGGCAAGAAGCAACAGATGGAAACTCATCAAGGAGAGAAGCAACTTAGAAATAAGGAGGAATCTCCTGACAGTTGGAACAATTAACCAGTGGAACCGCCTGCCTCCAGATTTTACGACCTTTCTCCCTGCAGTCGTTAAGTGAATCACTGCAGGGGTTAAGTCAATCCCACGGTCGTTAACTGAAACTCGCTTCCCCGTTGATTTTACTGATCAGAAGGTTGCAAAAGGGGATTGTGTCTCTCTCTCACACACACACACACACACACACACACATACACACACACCAGGACACCGCAACCGTCCTAAACGCGAGTCATTTGCCGAGCGTCGGAATTTTGATCACGTGACCGTGGGCAAGCTGCAACGGTCACAAAGTGTGAAAAACCGTCGCAAGTCCCTTTTTTCCACTGCCGTTGTCCCTTTGAACGGTCACTAAATGACCTGTCGTAAGTCGGGGACTGCCCATAAAACAGAATGTAACTTCACACAGAGAAAGGTAAAACTTCTGCATGTTGGCAGGAAAAATGGGAAGCAAAAGTACAGGGGGGGAGGTGGAAGACTCTTACAACCGGTCCCTTAACGGCTGTTTGTAGCTACAATGGACCTACCTGGGAGTTACTTAGGATCTGGTTTTGAGTCCGTGGTCACACGACCAAACTTCAGGCGCCCAGCAACACAACTGCAGTTTTTAGCGACATTTTTTTCCCCTGAAAACCAGCACTCTCCATTTTCTGCAAAACTGCCCATAGCAAAGGATGGTTTCGCTTAATGACCGTCAAGTTTGCTTAACAACCAAGCTGGCTGGTTTACAATCGACTCGTTTGCTTAACGGCCACCACGGAAACGGTTGTGAAATCAGGCTGGTCCTGTTACTGACCCATTTTACAACCATAACGACTTATGACCGGGATGGGCGAGTTTCCATTACGGCCGTAACTTGAGGATAACCTGTTAGTACAGTCTGAAAGGGAATAAGATTTGGGAAGGTGTCAGGAGAAACCTCCGGGCCGAATGAGCCGTCAGCCGGTGGAACAGACCGCAACTTGAAATATAAGTTCCCCTTCGCTGAAGGTTTTCTAAGAGAGGTGGGACGATCACCTATCAAAGATGTTCCAGGGCTTTGGTGCTGTGCACAGGAGTTGAGCTGGATGATCTCTGGGGTGCCTTCCAACTCTATGGTTTTACAGGGAAGAAACCACTTAACTGCTTTCTGTATGGTGACACACATTTCAAAACTCTTCAGTACAATTTGGCCTCTGGGACTCTGGACTTTTCGAGGGTCAGTGAAGTTTGTCCTGCCCAGATGCGCAGAACAGAATAACCGTTAGGAGGGACCTTGGAGGTCATCTAGTCCAACCGCCTGCTCAAACAGGAAACCCTCTACCATTTCAGACAAATGGATGTCCAGTCTCTTCTTAAAAGCCTCCAGTGTTGGAGCGCCACAACTTCTGGTGGCAAGCTGTTCCACTGGTTAATTGTTCTAAGTGTCAGGAAATTTCTCCTCAGTTCCAGGTTGCTTCTCTCTTTGATTAGTTTCCATTTGTTGCTTCTTGTGCTGCCTTCAGGTGCTTTGGAGAATAGCCTGACTCCTTCTTCTTTGGGGCACCCCTCAAATACTGCAGGCCTCCTATCATGTCATCCCTTCATTAATCTAGACCACGGTTAGACAACCTTGGCTCTTTTATGACTGGTGGACTTCAACTCCCAGAATTCCTGAGCCAGCATGGCTGAGCATGGAAACCTCTCCCTTTCCCCTCAGCTTAGCTGGCTCAGGAATTCTGGGAGTTGAAGTCCACCAGTCATAAAAGAGCCAAGATTGCCTACCCCTGGCCTAGGCCTAAGCCACTTTACGACTGGTGGACTTCAACTCCCAGAATTCCTGAGCCAGCATGAGGGAAACTTTAGCCCCTTCATGACTCGTGGACTTCAACTCCCAGAATTCCTGAGCCAGTATGGCTCAGCTTGGAAACCTTTCCCTTTCCCCTCAGCATGGCTGGCTCAGGAATTCTGGGAGTTGAAGTCCACGAGTCATAAAAGAGCCAAGGTTGCCTACCTCTGACCTAGGCCTAGGCCGCTTTCTGACTCGTGGACTTCAACTCCCAGAATTCCTGAGCCAGCCTGGCTCAGCTTGGAAATCTCTCCCTTTCTCCTCAGCATGGCTGGCTCAGGAATTCTGGGAGTTGAAGTCCACCAGTCTTGAAGGGGCCATAGTTCCTCTATGCTGGCTCAGGAATTCTGGGAGTTGAAGTCCACGAGTCATAAAAGAGCCAAGATGGCCTACTTCTGGCCTAGGCCTAGGCCGCTTTATGACCGGTCGACTTCAACTCCCAGAATTCCTGAACCAGCATGGGGGAACTATGGCCCCTTCATGACTCATGGACTTCAACTCCCAGAATTCCTGAGCCAGCATGGCTCAACTTGGAAACCTCTCCCTTTCCCCTCAGCATGGCTGGCTCAGGAATTCTGGGAGTTGAAGTCCACGAGTCATAAAAGAGCCAAGGTTGCCTACCTGTGGCCTAGGCCTAGGCCGCTTTCTGACTCGTGGACTTCAAGTCCCACAATTCCTCAGCCAGCCTGGCTCAGCTTGGAAACCTCTCCCTTTCCCCTCAGCATGGCTGGCTCAGGAATTCTGGGAGTTGAAGTCCACCAGTCATAAAAGAGCCAAGGTGGCCTACCCTTGGTTCTAGATGTACCCAATTCCTGCATCTCAGACTCTTTTCCTCACTGACCTCAGCAGCTACCAGTTCTGCACATGCATGCACCATCACCAAGATGCAGTCACCAGCAAACCCAGTTTAGGAAGTGGCACAGCAAACCCAGTTTAGCCCTGAAGCTTGTTCCTTGCTGCTGCTGCTGCTTTCCATATGACGTTTTTCTAGCACCTGAACCGGCTTACCTGGACTGAGATCAGAGGTTCTCTGTCATCGATGTCAATCAGAACATCATCTTTTGGGGTGAGGCTCATGTCCTCTGTAAAAATAAGGAAGAAACTTCAGTTTTGGGAGTTGACTGTTCTTGTGTCCATCCGTGTGTCTTTCACACCATCCTCATCTTCCAAAGAAGTTTTTCACACCAAGAAGATGGAACAAGGGTCTTTGGACCCTGTGATTTAGTCACATTGTCTGGGAAGGTTCAAGATATATCAATTTCTAATATTGACATCCAATGAAAAAATTGATTAAGGAACTGAATAAGTACATGCTAAGTTTAAAGATGGAATAAGTTCAAGAAACAATGATAAACATGGGCAAAAAACGTTGGGCATAACATAGAGTTAGAATACTGGCAAAGCCTTCGGGAAAGAAATTCTAAAATAACCAAGGCGGTGTCTTACAAAGAAAACCTATATAAAATGTTCTACTGGTGGCACTTAGCACTTGCGAGGTTAGCGAAAATGTTTAAAAACACGTCTAGCAACTGTTGGAAATGCAGACAAAAACCAGGGACATACTACAATCTTGGGTGGACGTGCCCTAAAGCCAAAAGATGTTGGTCAAGAATACATATATGGTTAGAGAAAACGACTAAAAAACACATAGGTTTTAAGCCAGAATTATTTTTGTTAGGTATAATTGTAGGCAATGTTGAGAAGGAATGTGTATATTTAATGTTACATGTACTAACGGCAGCGAGAATTGTATTTGTTCAACGTTGGAAGGGTGAAGAATTATCCGCGGAGGAAGAGATAATTAAGAAAATTTTAGATTGTGCAGAAATGGACAGACTGACGCTGAAAATGAAAGAGAAAGCAGATTCAGAATACTTTAGAACATGGGATACATTTGATCAATGGCTAGAAAAAACAAGGTAGAGAGAAAGGAGTTTAACATGTATTAGTAAACTAAACCTTGGAACCCAGACAATATGTTGCTGATAAAATATTAAGGATTTGTCACTATAAAAAATTAATAAAATATTGAACAGAAAACGAAAGATATATCAACTTCAAACTACCAAACAGGGCACATATGAAGTCTTCTCCAATCCATCAGTGTTCTGGGTGTTGTAGTCAATAACATCTGGAAGGTGCCATGTTGGAGAAGAAGGGCAGATACCATAAAACTGACCCCAAACCAATCAACCCACACATAGCTGACCACGGATAGTCAGACCTGCAGGAAGTCACCACGCTCAAATGGTGTGGTAGTCAAACCTCCAGACGATACTCAAGAACCGGGCTCGCCAAACTTGGCAACTTGCAAGACTTGTGGACTTCAACTCCCAGAATTCTCTAGCCAGTCATGTTGGCTGGGGAATGCTGGGAGTTGAAATCCACAGGCTTTCAAGTTGACGAGCCTAAAGACCGCCCCTGCTCAAGAGCCGGGCTTCTTTTGCGAACATCACCTATATCAGTGATGGCGAACCTTTGAGAGACCGAGTGCCCAAACTGCAACCCAAAAGCCACTTATTTATCGCCGGGTGCCAGGTGGGCGCGGCCCACTGGGTGGGCGCGGCCCACTGTGGTGGTCATCACAGATTGGGTGGGTGTAGCCAAGGTGGGCATGATCACCTCGATGTTGCTCGTGGGGAGGGACGCCTGTGGGGGCCAGGCATGGTTTATTTATTTATTTATTTATTTATGAGACTTATATACCGCTTTAAGTGCAAGCACTCTCTAAGCGGTGTACACCAGTAAGCAATGTATACATATATATTTACATTGCCCCCAACAACCTGGGTCCTCATTTCACCTATCCCGGAAGGATGGAAGGCTGAGTCAACCTTGAGCCGGTGAGATTTGAACCGCTGACCTGCTGAACACAGTCAGCTAAAGTGGCCTGCAGTACTGCACTCGAACTGCTGCGCCACCTCGGCTCTTAAGTTGACGAGCTTGAAGACCCCCCCTGCTCAAGAGCCGGGCTTCTTTTGTGAACATCACCTATCTCAGTGACGGCGAACCTTTGAGAGACCGAGTGCCCAAACTGCAACCCAAAAGCCACTTATTTATCGCCGGGTGCCAGGTGGGCGCGGCCCACTGGGTGGGCGTGGCTGTGGTGGTCGTGGCAGATTGGGCAGGTGTGGCCAAGGTGGGCGTGATCACTTCGATGTTGCTCGTGGGGAGGGACGCCTGTGGGGGCCGGGCATGGTTGGGGGAGATCCAGGGGGTCTCTGGCAGGTGGGGTGGTGGGCAGAAGGCTCGCCCTGCGGGGTGAGGAGAGGCAGGACGGCGGTGCCATTGTCACGGGGTAAAGTGAGGCAGGGGCCAGGGCGCTGCTGCCTGACACATCAGCCGCTGCACACAGAGGCCAGCGAGGGCATGGGTGCTGGGAGGCATCCAGCCATGTGGGACCTCGGCGAGTTAGCGGGAGGCTGGTTGAAGAGGGACAGTTGCCATCTTCGGGGCATGGCGCGCGTGCCCACAGAGAGGGCTCTCTGAGTGTCGCCTCTGGCACGCGTGCCATAGGTTTGCCACCACTGACCTATAATACATTTGTTCCAGAAAAGCCCCCATTTTTTACGATCCCCCAAACATCTTCCTCCCGTCCTGACCTGCGTGGGTTTCAGAAAATACTTCTTCTTCTTTGTAGGGGTCACAGAGGAATCCTTGCAGGGATCGGATGGTGCACTGGCCCACCACAGGTTTACGACCGAAGGGCCTGTTGTCAATGACTTTGATAATGATGGGAGGGCGGTACAGGTCCTCCCTTGGCAGACGCTGAAAGAAGAACAGGCACGGTTGGCACCACAGGGCAGAGGGAGAGGAGAAAAAGACGGGATCATTTTTAATTCAAATAACGTTGTCAACCATCCGGCTAGCGAATCCAACACTGAGGAAACTCTATGGCAGCGGTTCTCAACCTGTGGGTCGAGACCCCATTTGGGGTCGAACGACCATTTCACGGGGGTCGCCAAACAACACAGTCCGCCATTTTTCCCCCCCTTTTCCTTAGCTGTACTCCTCCCTTTTATTCTATTGGCTTTTGAAAGCCAATAGAAGAGACTCTCTTGAATAGAGTCTAATTCTATTGGCTTTCCAAAGCCAATAGGAATTGTCCAGGCTGTCTCTGCCCTGCTGAGCCTGCCAAAAGTCCCATTCTGCAAACGGTGCTGCACCAGTGGAGTAGTCCTCGACTTACGACCGGTTGAGTGGTCCTCGACTTACGACCGGTTGGGGGTCGCGGCATTAAAAAGGTTGAGAACCACTGCTCTACAGGTCTTGAGGTGCCATAAGACGGGTCTTTTCAACCTTTTCACAAATTGTACCACCTTTGGGACGTGACAAAGTTCAAGTACCACCGGTGTTTAGCAAGGTGTCAAAAGCCTGATGACCCAAAAAAAGGGAGAAAGCATCGGTTTTAATTTCTTCGGTGGCAGTTCCTTTGCTGAATCACTTTCCCCTTGAACATACGACAAATTTATCCGTGTTTATTAATATGCACCACCGCCTTGGTGGTCAGGTGGCTGGTCAGCCCTTCTTTCTTTCTTTCTCCTCTCCTCTCTCTCTTTCACTTGCGTGTACTCCTTCGTTGACCCCTCTGCTTGTCTCACAGAAGCCTTTCCCTTTTCCCTCTCTCTTTCTCCGTCCCCTTCTCTTTCCCCAGCATCTTTTTTTCTCTCCCTCTCCACCAAAACCTCCTCCTTTTATATCCTCTCCTCTCTCCCCCCTCCTCATCCTCCTTTTTTAGGTGCACCACTCTCTTGAAGCCCAGGGAGAGCGCCAGCATCAGTCGCTACCCCAGCAACACTGCAGCTCCAGCTGACTCTCCACCTGAAGACTGCGTGTGGCTGCCGGCACCCCTGAGGCTGCCAGAAGCGCCAATCAGCTGGAGCCGTGTGCGCTGATCCTGGGCCCTCAGTCCCAGAAACACTGCAGCTTCAGCTGACGCTTCCCCAGGCCTGTGCGGTGCTGCTGCCATTTCAGCTCTTCGGCACTGCCGCTGCTTCACTTCCTCTCCCCCCCACTACACTTGGTTAGGTCGTGTACCACTTGCCAAGTGCCAAAGTACCACCAGTGGTGCACGTACCACTGGTTGGAAAGCCCTGCCCTAAGAGATAATCTTTACTGAATACGCATAATGGCGCTGAAAAAGCAAAACGCAACTCTAGTTTTCCCGCACAAAAATTCCGGTTAGTTAACAATGGCTTTTCGTAACCCCCACCCGCCACGTGTTCACGTTGCCCAATGACATCCTTTCTGTTCGTTATGGGAATGGTCCACTTCTCCATCAGACACCTGCTTTGGATGAGGTTGGTTCTTAGGGTCCATGGATGGCTTCTTGACACTCCCTTTTCTTTCCCAGGCTTTCCCTCCCCCATTTCTAGGGCAAGGTGAGTAGCGACGGAGCAAGCATCTTAGCAAGCATCTTAGCCATTCAAACCTTGAGAAACAGCGGAATAGTAAATACAATTTCCTAGACAAATATCACAAGGGAGAGAGAGTAATTCTCATCAGAGACAAGAGAAGGCTGAACGAAGTAGCCTCACCACTTCCATGAAGAGAACGGAGATGTCAAAGTTGGGATTTTTCTTGAGGTTCTTGATAACCGTTGACTGGACCATCTCCCCACCACACTCCACAAGAAGACTGGGAGAAGTTACACTGGCCAACTGGTAGCTCTTCAAGTTTCGAAGACCCCAAGCCAACACCTGTAGCAAAAAAGCAACAGAGAGGGCCACCATCTATTAAGAACCTAAACTGATCGTAGAGAGACCAACACAATTTTGATGTGGACAACTCAGCTAGAGCTAGTTTTGCGGGTTGCGTTGGGTGTCAGTTGTGCGAGCGGCAGTGGACATTTTCTGTTTTCCAAAGAGGAGAAGATTGTCGCTTAATGACCATTACAAAAAAAGGGAATAAAATCAGACATGGTCACAGCCTCTTAAAGGCTGCCACAACTTACGGCCATAATTTCAGGCTCAATTATAGCCGTATGTTGAGGATATGTTGAGCTTGGTCACTCAACAGCAAGACCCTGATGAAGCGGGCACAGCAGCGCCTGCATTTTCTGTGTCGCACAAGAAAAGCACATCTTCCTTCCCCTGTCCTGACCACTTTCTACAGAGGGACGATTGAGAGCATCCCGTCATACAGCATCACAATCTGGTTTGGAAGCATCCCTGCTTCAGACAGGAAGGCGGTGCAAAGAGTGGTGAGGACGGCAGAAAACATGATTGGCAGTTCCCTCCCTTCCATCCAGGACATAGCACAGAAGCATTGCTTGAGCAGGCTCCACAAGATTGTCTGGGACATTACACATCCTCTTCACAGCCTGTTTTCCTTATAACCTTCTGGGAGGAGGGGACTGCGTGGTATCCAAAGCAGAACATCCAGATTCAGCCACAGTTTTGTTCCATACAGTATTAACCTTTTGAACTCTAAAGCTTCCTCCTTCCGTTATGAATTCAAGATGGACAATGATTAACATTTATATGTTACTTATATGTAAGAGTGTAGGTCTATACATATATGGTGTATAGTACGTTTCAATGTGTGTTATGTATGTGTACGCTTTGAGAGCAAGCAATTAAATTTCATTTTTAATGTGTGCCATTGGGCCCACGGTAAAAAAAACGACAATAAAGGTTATCTAATCTAATCAGAACCTATGTAGGGCTCTTGCATTTGATGGGGTTATTTTAATCCTACCACTAACATTTTGTTCTATGTGTTTTGCGATCCGTTAAAGAGTCTGATTGGTCAGAGGGGGGAACAAACTGACTAGACAAAATAAATATTTAATTTGCAGAACGGCACCCTCCCGTGTCCTGACAGCTTTTACAAAAACTAGCAATTCTCTTTCCGGAAGGTTTGGAGAGATCCCTGAGTCAAAAGACCTTCTGCACCCACCTCGATGGCCGTTCGCTGGAGAACCGGCTTGATTCCTTGAGGGACCATGTAGATGTTGGGCTCCCTCTGGGGTGGAGGGTAGGGCAGGTCTGAATCTGCAGACTGGGAAGAGACATAAAATGCATCTTTTAGGGGGTAAAAGAAATGGAAGTCCACCCTGCTGGTTCTTCCAACCAACCCGGACCTAAGGAGGAATTTCCTGACAGTGAGAACAATTAATCAGTGGAACAACCTGCCTCCAGAAGCGGTGAATGCCCCAATACTGGAGGTTTTTGAGAAGAGACTGGACAGCCATTTGTCTGAAATGGTATAGGGTTTCCTGCCTGAGCAGGGGGTTGGACATGATAGCAGTGTTCCAGTATCTCAGGGGCTGCCCCAAAGAAGAGGGAGTCAAGCTATTCTCCAAAGCACCTGAAGGCAGGACAAGAAGCAACGGGTGGAAACTGACCAAGGAGAGAAGCAACCTAGAACTAAGGAGAAACTTCCTGACAGAGAGAACAATTAACCAGTGGAACAACCTGCCTCCAGAAGCGGTGAATGCTCCAACACTGGAAGTCTTTAAGAAGAGACTAGACAGCTATTTGTCTGAAATGGTATAGGGTTTCCTGCCTGAGTAGGGGGTTGGACTAGATGACCTCCAAGGTCCCTTCCAACTTTACAATTATTATTATTATTAAAAATTGGATGCTTGGCAAATGACTCATATTTAGGACAGTTGCAAGATGTCCCGGGGGTTGTAAAACAGGACAAAACGGCCGTAAAACAGGAAAAAAACGCTCCCATTTGGTCATAAAATGGGACAAAACACCCTTAAGAAATGTCCCAATGACCATGTTTCACACATATAACGAACGCAGCATCTCCGCGGCCACGTGATCAAAATTCGGACGCCGGGCAACTGGTTCCTATTTACGACAGTCGCAGCGTCCCGGGAGTCACACGATCCCCTTTTGCGACCTTCTGACAACCAAAGTCATTGGGGGGGGGGAAGCCAGCCTCACTTTACGACCGTGTTCCTAACTTAACAACGACCAGGAGTCACATTTAACACGGAGGCAAGGAAGGTGGTGAAACGGGGCAAAACTCACATCGTAACTGTCTTAGAAATTGGGGGCTCACGTTGTGGTCGTGACTTGAGGACAAGGAGGACAAGGGGGGACATGATAGCAGCCTTCCAATATCTCAGGGGCTGCCCCAAAGAAGAGGCAGTCAAGCTGTTCTCCAAAGCCCCTGAGGGCAGGACAAGAAGCAACGGGTGGAAACTAATCAAGGAGAGAAGCAACCTAGAGAACCAAGGAGAAACTTCCTGACAGGGAGAACAATTAACCCGTGGAACCACCTGCCTCCAGAAGCAGTAAATGCTCCAACACTGGAAGTTTTTAAGAAGAGACTGGACAGCCATTTGTCCGAAATGGTTTAGGGTTTCCTGCCCGAGCAGGGGGTTGGACTAGATGACCTCCAAGGTCCCTTCCAACTTTACTACTATTACTATTACTATAAAATCTGCGGCCGTGGCACCATGCCACTAGTTGCCAAACAGCCAGATCGGCGTGCTCGGGAATTGTGGCGCCCTGCGCCCTCCGCCAGCACACAAGATTCCTACAATTTCAACCATCGCCTCTTGCGAGACCGTCTGAGCTGCCTGCAGCGCGACCTGGCCCGGCTCTTCCGTCTTGATCTCCAATCCCCAGACTTCCCCCCTAAACCCAATCTTGGGGGTGGGGGGGCGATTTTAGCCTCCAAAGGAAAGGAAACCCCTAAGGCGGGGGGGGACCCCCCAAAGGCAGCCCTTAACCAGGGGCAGTTGGAAGGAATTTCAGTCGCAGTCACTTTTTCCAGCCCAAAGAATTATTGCATTAAATTAAGGAGGCGTATACATTTCAAACATCAGATGGGGTCGTATTTATTTATAGATCCCGCCGATGTGTATTTAATAAAGCTGCTGCAGGGAGGCAGGCAGGGTGGGGGACGGCCAACGCTGCCCGGGGGGTGGGGGGGACAGCTACTTTTCCCTGGCAGTTGCCAGGAGATGCCTAAACAAAACGGCTTGTTGTGTATGATGGCATTGCCAACCCCGCTTGGGCGTAATTGGAGCCCCCCCGTCCCCCAAACGCAGCTCCCCACCGGCACTGTTTGAAGATTTAAGGGAAGTGTTGGGTGACAGCCAAATGGGGGCACCAGCCCCTAAAGATCTTCATCCAATTTGCAGCACCTCCAAAGCCAGACAGAGTCTCTTGCAAGGGAGCTGTGGGACGCCCCAGCCCGGCCCGGCCCTTGTCCTGCTCTGATGCCCCCTGCAATAGCCACTAGGCACTCAGAGAGCTGTCGTCCAATATGCTTAGAGGCCGGTGGGCTGGTCCTTTCCCCCATCCCTGGAGGAAGCACCAATGAGCAGGGAAGCATCCATCCAAGAAGAGGAGGTGACCCATCACCCTAAGGCCACCCACAACTGATTCTAAAGGAGATGCTTTGAAAAGTATCCGGAAGGTCCATTTGATTCAAATGCGGCAGCCTGTGGGGTTTTGCACACAGATTCGCACACGTGTCACTCCTCTTGCAGGGACTGTATTGGTTGCTTCTGGGTGCTGTTCAAAGTGCTGGCTGTCACCTTTATTTATTTTATTTTATTTATGAGACTTATATACCGCTTTAAGTGCAAGCACTCTCTAAGCGGTGTACACCAGTAAGCAATGTATATATATATTTACATTGCCCCCAACAATCTGGGTCCTCACTTTACCTACCTTGGAAGGATGGAAGGCAGAGTCAACCTTGAACCGGTGAGATTTGAACCGCTGACCTGCTGAACACAGTCAGCTAAAGTGGCCTGCAGTACTGCACTCGAACTGCTGCGCCCCCTCGGCTCATGGCCTGGGGCTAGGACATCTGAAGGACTGTCTTTTTCCAATTATATCCACCTGACCCACTAGAGCAGACATGTCAAACTGCCGGCCCGCGGGCTGGATGCGTCACGCTGAAACCGCACCCACCCCACTGCAGGCAATGGGGGGAAAGTCGCGATACGTCATGCGACGTCACGTGATGTCGCGAGTTTGACATGCCTGCCCTAAAGCAAGGAGGCAGGGGACGTTATGGGCCCCCTCTCTTGAGGAGGTCCATCTGGCGGGACCCAGGAGAAGGGCCTTCTCCGTGGTGTCTCCCTCCCTGTTATTTGAAGGGCCATCTTTTCCCAGTTGTATCCCCCTGACCCACCAGAGGGTGTAGGCAGGAGACGTAATGGGTCCCCTCTCTTGAGCAGGTCCATCTGGCGGGACCCAGGAGAAGGGCCTTCTCCGTGGTGGCTCCCTCCCTGTTATTTAAAGGACCCTCTTTCCCCAGTTACATCCACCTGACCCACCAGAGTGGGGAGGCGGAGGACGTTATGGGTCCCTTCTCCCCTCCCCCTGGATTCATACGGCTGGCTGAGGAATTCTGGGAGTTGAAGTCCACACATCTTAATGTTGCCAAGCTTGGGAACCCCTTCCAGCAGAGGCTTAATAGACAGTGGTGGATTTGCCCCCTCGTTAGTTACACCGATGGTTCCAGATGTAGTTGATCAGCACAAACAATTAATCATTAACATTAACGAGCAGTGGAGGAGCCAAGCAGGGGATTAAGGCTCAGATGTGGCTTGGGATGCAGGAGGGAAGCTGGAAAGAAGCAGGGCCTGAGGTCAGGCGAGAAGCGAGCAAGCGAGCAGGACCTTCCGGGAGATGTGGCTGCAGCACCCACCACCGTCCCCTGAAGCCCAGGGCGCCCGTCTCCAAGGAGTGGTCCCTGTAGCTCTGGAAGGGCCCAGAGCGGGTGGAAGCAGCCATTGGGGAGGGATGGTGAGGATAGGACTGTTTGAAAAGCCTGCTGGGAGGGCATCGGCCATTTATTATCCAATTTCTAGACACCCCCCCCCCATCACCTTGGGTGCCTCTGGGTGGGTTCGACATTCGAGCAATGTTCAAGAAGATTCAAGCAAGAACGCAAACAGGGTCTTCCTAAAGCAGTGTTTCTCAACCTTGACCATTTTAAGGCATGTGGACTTCAACTCCCAGAATTCCACAGCCAGCATTGCTGGCTGTGGAATTCTGGGAGTTGAAGTCCACCTGCCTTAAAATGGTCAAGGTTGAGAAACACTGTACCTAAAGCTACAGGGGGCTACCAGTGTCTGACTCCCCCAAAGAGAGGCCAAAATAGGCAACCCTTGAGGTTGTGGTCACAATCTTGGTTTGATTTGATATTATGAGGGCGAAGGGTTTATTCTCCAAGCTTGCGGGCTGGTTTCCGAACCTTTCGTTACCCGGCTAGCTAGCATCTTCCGCGGACTTTAGGGGATGTTGATGTTCTTCTGTTTATAAGGGCTTCGGGGGTGGGGGTGTCGAGTGAGGGTCTTGGGATGGGTCAGGGGTGAGTCACCAGCGAGGGGCTTGTGATGGGTCTTGGGATGGGGAGGACACGTCAGGCCAGGGTGATTGGGGGGTGAACTGCTGGTGGGAGTGGGGGATTGCGCGGGATGGCTGAGAGTCGGTGCTGCCTCTGGTTGGGTGTGCGGTCGATTTGGATCCTGAGTGGTAGGCTGGTGGTAGGTCAATGTGTCTGTGGATGGAATTGCTTGTGGCTCCGATGGTAGCGTGGCGGGTGGTAGCGTGGCCGATGATTCTTGTGTCGGCCCAACCGAACTGGTGCCGTTTGGTGTCAGTGTGGGTAGGGATTAAGGATTTTGGGAGTTATGGAATTTGACTGGGCAAGGATAAGCTAAGCGGGCAAACTCTGATGGGCATGAGCAGTTGCCAAAAACTATCTGCCTGAGGGGGGGGGCACCCAACATTTGTACGATTGGACATGGATATGATTGGACATGCTGTATGAATGTACTTATTTTGTACTGTTTTATTGTTATATTTATTGTTTTAATTTTGTACGCCGCCCTGAGTCCCTCGGGATTGGGCGGCATATAAATTTTAGAAATAGATAAATAAATAAATAAATAAATAAATAAATAAATAAATAAATATTGGCCAACACACAAGCTGTGAATATTATGGGAAAGACCTGGAAACAGGGGGTGCCTGATGGATTAGACCAGGGGACGCCCGAGCCATCCGACAGCTTTCGACCTTGGCCTTCTGCCTTCGCTACTCAATCAGCAGGAGGTTTAGGGGTGGCTACCTACCCTTGCTTGTACCCCACAACCTGAGAGGACAGAGGGATGCCACGGCTGAGGGAGGACCCTAAAATCCTCACCCTCCAAGAATAAGCCTCTGGGGGATTTTTTGGCATGCTGCTCCAGCCCAAGAAGTTGCCAAGCAGAAATGAGCGGGGGTGGGGGGGTGGTGGAGTAGGGGGGTTGTAAGCAAAGTGAAAAGATACCCATTGCAGAAGCCCCTCGTGATAGAAGACGGGGGGGATCAGCTGCAGCGTGGCAGTCCCGGGTGGCACCAGACAAGGAGAAAAGGAAGCAGAAGAGAGAGAGAGAGAACGTCAGCTCAGACACACACCGATGGGGTGGACAACGCACACTCAGGTGGGGGAACCTCAAAGGAAGCCAGTTTTCCATCTCCTGGGGCTGGTGGAGGTTTCTACGAGTAGTCCTCAACTTACAACGGTTCGTTTAGCGTCCGTTCGAAGTGACAACGGCACTGGAAAAATGGAACTATGACCAGTTTTCACATTTAGGACCGTTGCAGCGTCCGCCGCGGTCACGTGATCGAAATTCAGGGGCTTGGCAACTGATTCGTATTTACGACGGTCGCAGTGTCCCAGGGGGGTCACGTGGTACCCTTTTGCGACCTTCTGACAACCAAAGTCAACAGGGGAAGCCAGGATCACTTTAAGAACCATGTTGCTAAAGGAAGATAAAAGTTTACTCCTCAACTATTTTTATTAGGGATTTTTTGAGGATTTTGATGTCAAAGAAACTATTTTAATGTTGAATTTAATTACAGCAGCAAGGCTATTGGTAGGTCAATATTGGAAGAAAGATTCGTTGCCCACAATAGAAGAATGGACACTTAAGGTTTTCTAATTTAGCAGAAATGGCTAAAATTTCTGCTTATTTAAAGGATCATACACAAGAAAGATATATTATGGCATGGAGAAGACGGATAGATTACATTCAGATTAAATATGGAACTAAAAAGTTCCATTTATTATACGATTAAATTTTAATATCATAAGTATTATTAATAGTATTTTATAATTGGAATTGTTTAGTTTATTTACTGTTGTTATGGTTTTTTATAATAATTGTTTAAAAATGGATTTGTTTATAATATGTTATTAAGGTTTAAAGCAGGGGTAGGCAACCTCGGCTCTTTTATGACTCGTGGACTTCAACTCCCAGAATTCCTGAGTTAGCATAGCTGACTCAGGAATTCTGGGAGTTGAAGTCCACGAGTCATAGAAGAGCCGAGGTTGCCTACCCCTGGTTTAAAGGGAGTTAAGGGTTAAGTAAGATTTTAGTAGTTGTATAATTTGTTAAATTTAATTAGATTATATTTAACCTACTTGTTGAATTTAATTAGATTATGTTTAATATGTTTGTAATAACCCTGTGCTCGGCTGTGGGAATTGGGGGGGGGAGGATGGGGATGGGTGGGTTAGTGGTTTTATTTTGTTAAATTGTTAATAAAACTTTTTAAATAAATAAATAAAAAAGAACCATGTTGCTAAGCCCACATTCCGGATAGAGAGGACTGCTATTTTGAAAGAGGGGGGGTCAAAGGAGCCATCTAAGACTTCAGGGGTTCTCAACCTTGGCAACTTTAAGACTTGTGGACTTCAACTCCCAGAATTCCTCAGCCAGCTTTGCTGGCTGAGGAATTCTGGGAGTTGAAGTCCACAAGTCTTAAAGTTGCCAAGGTTGAGAACCCCTGATTCTAGGTTAAGATTGAACAGTCCTCACCCAACAGAGGGGGAGGGACACAACACCACCCATCTCCTGTTTACAAGATGGCCCTTTCGGCACTCCCAAGAAGGCTCCACACCCATCTGCACCACTCAGGTGACCCCGAGGGCACAGATAAACCCCCCAAGAGGCTTCAACGACTCTCAGAGAGAGGGCCAACGACCGGAGGACTGCAAGGAATGTAAATCCTTCCACCCTTCACCATTCAGGCAGAACTGAAGAAGCTCCTGGGATCAGAAGCGAAAGGTCTTCGAGGGAAGCACCTTTGGGCCAGCCCTGACCGGGATGATGGGGAAGCTCCACTGCCTTCTCTTACTTAGCCACAGCAACGATTCCCTTAAAAACAGGGCTGAGAAAAGTTATCAACTGGACCGAACATTAAGGACCGTCTGGCTTAGCAACGGAAAAATGGTTGGGGTCGTAAGTCAAGGACTACCTGCGCTAGAAATCTGCCTCTTGTCCTTCGTTTGAGAAGCCAACTGGACTAGACTCACATCCAGCACTTAAGCCAGAGAGCCTGGGGGAGGAAGGAGGGGGGGTGGTGAGCAACATTCGTGCCTCGAGGCCCAAACCTTTAAGCCTGACAGAAAGGGGGGATCTGTTTGTGTTTTGGGGGGCACAAAGTGGAGAGAAGGACCCTAACCCTCTTTTTCATGATCATGTCCATCTTGCCGGCAAGCTCTGGACCGGGAGGAGAAGGGGAGGCCATGTGGGGCAACTTAAACTGGGCAGGCAAAGGGCCTTCATGCCGCCCTGGGCAGCTCCTGGTGGAGAAGAGGACTCGTGTTTGTGCCCTGCTTATAACCAGAACTTCTAAGGGGGTCCAGTGATGGCTTCTGTCTCACGTGCCCCCCGGCCATTCCTTGAAAAGGAGAACAGGTGACCCTGGCCTGGTAGACTGTTCAGCCTTTGATCATTTGGATGGGGGAGTCCCTGCCGCTCTCTGAACTTGGATGTTTTCTTGCAGACGTTTGTTGAGCCAGATAGGGAACCTCATCAGTGCTAGAAGGGAGAAGGTAGCAAGGAGGAGGAGGAGGAGGAAGGAGGGAAGGTTGAGAAGGAGGAAGAAGAGGAGGGAGGAGGACAAGGACAAGGAGAAGGAGAAAGAGAAGGAAGGAGGAGGAGGAGGAGGAGGAGGAGAAGCCGAATTGTTTTCTTGCAGACGTTTTCTGACCCAGCTATGCAACACCATCAGTGCTAGAAGGGAGAAGGGTTTGCTCTCTGCGTATGTTTTGCATTTAAGACATTCCTTAAGGAGGAGGAGGAGAGGGGGGAGGATGAGAAGGAGGAAGAAGAGGAGGGAGGAGGACAAGGAGATGGAGAAGGAGGAGGAGGAGGAGGAGGAGGAGGAGGAGGAGGAGGAGGAGGAGGAGGAGGAGGAGGAGGAGGAGGAGGAGGAGGAGAAGAAGGAGAAACTTGGTTGTTTTCTTGCAGACGTTTTCTGACCCAGGTATGCAACACCTTCAGTGCTAGAGGGGAGAAGGGTTTGCTCTCTGCTTATGTTTTGCATTTAAGACATTCCTTGAAACTACATTTTCTAAAAGACTTTCCGGTAATTTGCATCTCCCCTGTTCCTTTTTTTTTCCCATCACAAGCCCCCCAGGACCAGGGGAGCGACCCCTTTCTCGCCCAAGGGGCTCACCTCATCCAGGAGAGACGTCAGTTCCGTCTACAGGGTTTCCCCGTTTGTCCCACGAGGAGGAGAGCGCGTGGCAGGGAGGTCAGCATCCACGGGGAGAAGAAACAGACAGAAAGTCGACTTTTTCAAAGCAAGGTCTTCAGTAGAATACACACTTCACACACACACACCCGTGTTGAAATCATTCCGTGAATTAATACGTAGGAGGAAGCCATTTGTGAAATATTATACAGATTTTCTGGCTGATCATGACCGTGAGTACAATTCACCAGTGGAACTACTTGCCACCGGAAGTGGCGGGTGCTCCAACACTTGGAGGTCTTCAAGAGAAGACTAGACAGCCACTTGTCCAGGATGATATAGAGTCTGCTGCTTGGGCAGGGGGCTGGACTAGAAGACCTCCAAGGTCCCTTCCAACTCCGTTATTCTGTTATATCGCCGTTTTGCAGAAAGCTCTGGATTCTACGGAGGTTCTTGCTTTCAACCACCACCCCGCCCAAGCTCAGCCAGGAGCCAAAGCAGAAAATGCAGCTTCTATAGACACTGCGAGGGTCTTACCTCAAAGCCTGGGATGTGATGGACAGCTGGCTAAAAAAAAAAAACACAACACAAATATCCACATTACAGCCTGACTTTGAAAGGAAGGAAAAAAACTCCTGAAAAACTCTTGGTCCACACGTCTTAAAGTTGACAAGGTTGAGAAACAGCGCTTGACACGTCCCAACCTTGTCAACTTTATACTTCACAACACTCTTGCGCTTCTCCGCTTTCAGGTGTGTGGACTTCAACTCCCAGAATTCCCGAGCCAGCCATGCTGAGGGGAAAGAGAGGTTTCTAAGCTGAGCCATGCTGGCTCAGGAATTCTGGAAGTCCACCAGTCATAAAAGAGCCACGGTTGCCTGCCTAGGCCTAGGCCTAGGCCGCTTCATGACTGGTGGACTTCAACTCCCAGAATTCCTGAGCCAGCATGGCTCAGCTTGGAAACCTCTCCCTTTCCCCTCAGCATGGCTGGCTCAGGAATTCTGGGAGTTGAAGTCCACCAGTCATGAAAGAGCCAAGGTTGCCCACCCCTGGCCTAAGGCCTAAGCCGCTTTATGACTGGTGGACTTCAACTCCCAGAATTCCTGAGCCAGCCATGCTGAGGGGAAAGGAGAGGTTTCCAAGCTGAGCCATGCTGGCTTAGGAATTCTGGGAGTTGAAGTCCATGAGTCATAAAGCGGCCTAGGGCTAGGCCAGAGGTAGGCAACCTTGGCTCTTTTATGACTTGTGGACTTCAACTCCCAGAATTCCTGAGCCAGCCATGCTGAGGGGAAAGGGAGAGGTTTCCATGCTGAGCCATGCTGGCTCAGGAATTCTGGGAGTTGAAGTCCACCAGTCATAAAAGAGCCAAGGTTGCCTAGCCCTGGCCCAGGACAAAATCTCGGACACTTCAGAGATGCACAAATCCAGCCTTATGCAGGAAGAATGGCTTAGCGTTCAACAAACCTTAGTCAGGCCATACTTGGAACATGGCATCCAGTTTTGGTTACCACGTTACAAAAAAGATGCTGAGACTT